CCCCAAAACCCCAAAACCCCAAAACCCCAAAACCCCAAAACCCCGTAAAATAATAATTGAGTCTAATTGGATAAAAGAATATAAAACTGATTGTATTTACTTGACTCCACTTAAAGTGTCTCATTAGCTTCTTTCATTGTCTGAGTGTTTTGCTCCATTTCAGAGACTTTAATCTTTAACCTATCCTTAACTCTTTTAAACAAGTTAAGTATCTAATCAACTCGTGATTGTACTGCAAATGATTAAGTTAGAGATGACTTTTGCTCTCGATTATCATCAGCATATTAGTGAGTGTCTTTGAATTAGATAGAGTCTACTGCAACCTATGTTCCAGTTGAGATGGAGTTAGATCTCTTTTGACTGGGGTTTATGAGTTCAAGTACTTCCTTCATCTTACTTTCTCTACTCTACTTTCCTGCTGCTGAGTATTCTGCTTTTTGCTTAAGACAATTTTGCCTAGCCATAAACCTTATTGAAACTTTTTTGAAGTACTCAAGTGCCTATTGAAGAAGTATTAGCCTCTATTAGTTGAACTATAGCCGAAGATGATAATCTTACTCATTCAATTATACTGCAGTCTTTGATAAATTTGAAGCACTAAAGCTTGATTCAATCGCAAATTAATTATTCTAGAAGGAAGAATGCCTACATAATAAATCTAGCTTAGTTATTACCAGTGCTAGCCTGTTATACTGAAGAATTGTATAATCAAACAATTTTTTTCATAATAAAGGGGATGGCTCTGCCCAATCTTGTAATTCAAATGTATTCTTGTTGCATTTTTTGTCTTTCAAGTTTATCATAACTCGTAGGTTCCATCATCTCACTATTGCATATGCTTCTGGCTGGTATTTTTCTTCTTATTGCAACAGAAGATGTTGACTTATGGAGCCATTATCAACTAGACAAATTGAACTGATTTTTGTGAAAATAAATTTAGTCGTTTGAGTTTAATAAATAACTTATCTTAAAGTAATATGTAACCAGCACCGATTGTGGAAAAATCAACCCTTGTAGCTAACCTTCTCAGAAGAAATAAGAATATGGCTCTAATCGAGGATTGGGATAAAAACGGAAAAATTTGTCGAATTAGTGAGAGAGAGCAATTAGAAATTAAGATTTTATCAGTTAATAAATGTTTTTAAATCAACAGCAGTCACGACACGGGGCTTTACAATGCAATTTTCTTGATATTTCGTACACATAGTTTCCTTCTTCGTCTTGCACAATTTTTTCTTTTTCGCTCAAAAAATTACTTTCAGTAATAGCTTGCCCGATAACAATACTGAGTAAGAGTGACAATGTAACTAGCAAATTAAAAATTCTCATTGGTATAATTCGAGTATTATTGGTGAAATTTTATGTGGTTATAATTCGAGTATTGTTGGTGATTATTTATGTGCACAAATTCATAATTATCTATGGGTTAGCAATATTGAGGCTTTGTATTCAAGCAAAAAAGGCTACATGGGTTTAGGATTAGTATTAAAACTATTATCAAACATTCACCCTTCACCAACAACAAGCAAGAATATGCTTATAGAGTCTGAAATGCTTGACATACAGATTAGTACGCTGCTATTAGCCATTAATCCTTCTTCGTCGTCTAATTGAAATGGGATTAGCATGAAGATTTTGCAAAAATAACTCAAACAATGAGAGAATGTTCTATTACTTCGACCGACTATCCTAAATACTGTATTAATATAATCCCCTTGCAATAATAACTTGAGCAAGTCTTTCACTCTAAATTGAATGCTGGGGTTTTGGGGTTTTGGGGGAATCGGAAGAGCACACGTCTGAACTCC